AACCATATGCACATGGTGGAGCGTGTTATGTATCCAGATATGTGAACAACTGTAACATCAGTTCAACGCACTTGCATTCGCAGCAGAAACATGCGCCCCGTACATTACAACGTGACCGCTGACAAAATTAATATTTTACGTACTAATTATAAGTCACTTTTTGGCCCAACGTTGCTAACATCGAACGTTGACTAAATTCCTTCAGTTAGAAATCTATTGTGGAAGTTTAATATAACTATTAACTACATATTTTCTCGTTTTTTACTTCACGGCCACACTCCCAAGCAGCACACCCACATTTAAATATATACTATGAGATATGTAATAGAATTTAATTCGATTGAATATTTTAAGAGCTCAGTTTCCCTCTCGAACAAGGTTTCTAGATAATTTAAAGTAAATGTGAGCTCAAATTTATTAGTAGATCACAAGTAAGTGTGCTTCGAGAAACTATCTGTAGGTAGTGTTAAGAGTGAGCTTTTTCTTCAAGTAACCCTTCTAGAATGCTACAAGACCATTTGTAGAATGTAGACAGTCGTTATTTAGTCTTGTAGACAGTTTTTAGATAATTTATAGTCTATGATAGTTTTCTTAGTAATGCTATTTTAAAACCAAAATACTAAAGCGTTAGAAACATAAGACGCAATTCTCTTAATACTAATAGATTTCAAGTTTAATGGCTTACAAAATATAAACTATCAAAATGACTACATGGCGAAATTAGATATAATATTTCTGACTTTTTCGCGCAATGTTTAAGCGGTTAGAAGGCGCGAATTGACGTGCGACTTTAAATATATTGTGAAAAGTGAAGTAAAACTTGACATAAAAGTAATGCGCTCGCTAAATTTTAAATATTTATCTATAAAATATAAACTTAATAAAAATACAGTTCTCGATTTTCGGTTTTAAATATTTATAGAAAGCTTAAATATACAAAATAACTCACAAAACAAACTATTTCCAAGAAGTTCTAGGCTTCTTCAAGCTAATTTCAACTTAGATTTACTTTTTATAAAGAAAATAAATTTTTGTCGGCTACTTCATAGTCATTCTTTAAAAATAAAAATGGCGATAAGAATTTAAAGCTTTTTCAAGACACTGTTGGGGCATTTTGTCTATAGCTTTATCTATAGAAAAACTTTATAATACGAAAAGATTATTTTTACTTGCTTTATGTAGTTGATCTTGTAGAAGAATATTCACTCTTAAGAAGCTTCTGTGATTGTCTACAAAACGCAATGTTTCTAAGCGATTTTTTCTTTTGACAGTATTATAAAACCTTTATAAAAGTTACAGTTAATAGTGAGCGTATTACGCGATAAAAACCTTTAGAAACACTAGGTCAAAAAAACAATTGAAAAAATCCAATTTATCGCAAAAATACCTTATTCTGTATAATTATATGGAATGTGTTATATATGACTAGAAAGGTTAGAAATTCCCTATCATATAAATATTAGGAATATTTTAATAACATACCTAACTTATGTTGGAAGAAATAAAATTTTCATTACAAAATTGAGGTTATTTCTTCACACATTTCACACATTTCACACAATGATTTCACTGTATTCTATTGACAGACGGCACAATACACATACACAATATTGAAGTACAGTAGTTTACGCGCTCATTTCATAGGTTAATGGCTCATTTCAATTGTCATCACTTATTTGTCAACAAACAAATGCCGGCCATGGCCGGCCCGAGTGCGAATTACAACTATTGTATCCAGCGTTGCCAATTTGTGGGGAATTCCCCAAATTGTGAGGAGTTTTAACTAGATTGATCGTTACTGTTAGAAACATTGTGATGGACTATATCGACGTGTTTTTCAACATCGCACATCCCTCGTATTATTAACAAGCAGCTTAAATAGAATTATTATTATTAGAGCACTTGGTTCTGGGAGTCTAGTCCTACGTCCGTCCGAAACTATTACTGCCAAATAAGCAATTCTTTACCAAATGAAAAGACGCGTGATGCGAATGAAGCTTCATACTTGATACTTGTCTTTTAATTTTGTCGAATATTACTTATTTGACAGTAATTGTTTCAAACGGATGTCGGACGGATTGTAAAATTACCAGTCGGTGCGTGTTGAGTTCGTGATTCTTTCTCCCGCTTAGGCCGGTCCTCGGTATGAAGCAAAACGAAATCAGCTATTGAGAAACAAAGCCGAGCAGTTGGTACTTCCACACCTCAACTTACGACTCGTCAACTTTAAATATTAAATATAGGTCGAAACTCATTGATTATTTCTAACATTAACATAGTGTCAGTGTTTTGTTCAGACTGATTACAGATTAATGTTGAATCTAATTAATATTGTAATTAATATAACTGCCTCCGTGGCCGAACGGTTACCATGCCATGGACTGCCATGCAGAGGTCCCAGGTTCGACTCCCGGGTCGGGATAAATATTTGTATGGCCTACATTTATTTATCTCGTAAGTTTGGGTGTAATTTGTGGTTGTCTACGTGTGTGTCCATGGCACCCGCGACACAGGGTTTCCCCAGTGCGGGGCTATTTTGAATGTGTACGTTATTACTATTATTATTAAAATAAATAAACGATTTAAGGTCATCTAATTTTATAATTAGTTTTACTTTTTACATTCTGTTTACATTCACAACAAACCTAACAGATTATTACATTTTGAGTTTCTTAATTCTTTATTATATTTTTAAGCGATGTATTTCTAATAAATAATGAAAACTTGAGATGTGGGGAATTTATGCGGAATATGAACTTTGCTCTTCCCAAATTTGGGGATTTTAGCCGTGATTTTTGGGGATTGTGAACAATTGGCATTGGCAACGCTGTTTGTATCGAATGATGTGAGTTTATATCCAAGGTTCACCACCTCCACCAGATCTTTTAATATTCTTTACTTTATCCATTTTGCATGAACTCTTACAACGTCCAATAGAGTAAAAACCCTAATTGTAGTATTTTTTAAAATAAAATCTGCTGAAGACGCGCTATAACGTGTTTGTCAATAAGTACAAACACTACAAAATGTATATAAATTAAATATATCTAGAATAAACTTAAGTAAACTAGTTTATAGAGTATTAATAGACTTTACTGGACGTGTACAGAACAATTATACTAAAAATAATCAGTTGTTCTACAGATGAACTTAAAATAAGAACTATAAGAGTAAATCTTAAGCGAGAATACACTTAATTAAGTTGTTTGGTATTGAGACGGTTTTAAAATCTGGACTTGAGTGAAATAAGTCTATAAGAACAATTTATTTTTTCTAAAACCATTTATAGACAACTATTATCTAAATCAATACCATATTAAGACTGTTTATAGATGTTACAGTTTTAAGGCGTATAAAGTGTGCTTCTTGGGCTATATAATTAGCGCGAATAAGGTGTCGTCAAAATATGTACATAAGAGATGACGTAAACTCGTGTCACCTACCAATCTAAACAACATTGCCCAAGGAGCAAATGACCTGAATAATTTCCTAAAACAATCACGGTCCTCTCCAAATATTTTTCTTCAAAAGTGTAACCGCCTCTGCAGTCCTGTGGCTTGCACACCGGTTTTCTTGTTGTCGCCATCTCTGAGGCCCCGGGTTCGATCCCTGGCCGGATCAATGTAGAAAAACTAACGTTTCCATATTGTCTCGGGTCTGAATGTTTGTTGTTTCCGATTTCCATAACACGAGTGCTTTAGTTGGGTAATTTGGGATCATAGAGATGTATGTGACGTTGTGGATGTTAATGATTCATAATTATTTTATTCGATTAATTCAATTTGTATAGTTTTTTTTTTCAATAATTTATTTTCTTCAAGCATTATTTTGTCAAACTTTGAGCATAAATTAATTAATTGAATGATAAAAAAATTGTATCTCTATATTGATGCTTTTTAATGTTTATTATTGCGATCTAAATTTTTATATTGGTTTTGATATATTTCATAAGAATTGTAATAATCAATGATACAGCTTGTATACGAGATTAATAATTAGTTAATAACTTAACTAATCACTGTAGTGTCACAGTGTTGACAGGGTTCATGTGCAGGAATACTATTATGTAGCACCTCTGTTAATCCACATGACACAATGAATAAATGAATTATTAATTCGTTTGTTGGAGGTCACCACAGACCACATAAATACTAGTAAGAGGTCACCAAATGGGACGAGCACAAATTTCGAACTGATTCTGTGAGTTACAATTAAAGACACAATTTTTATAATGTTTTGGCGTAAGTCAGTTGAGTGAACGCAAAACCAAAGAATTCCACTTGGAAACAATAATCCTCCGGACCTAAGGAGAGGTTTATGAATTGATTGCGACGGCGCGCGGCGCGGACCAGGCGCAGACCGGGCGCGGCCAATATTGATTCAGCACCAGTTTAGAATGTTTCAATATATTCTAAATTGGCAGAACAATCGGCTGGCGCACGTCATGACTATTTATTGTTAATACTTTCACTCTGGCGTCTTAGGCTTGTCTAAGTCGCGTCGGCACCAGATCCCGTGGCAATTACATGGATTTAAATGGGTTGATGCAGCAGCATACTTCGTTTTTAAAAGGAAATCTGAAAATGATCCAAAAATACTGATCTCTGTATTGATATAACGAATGACACAGACTATTAAAAACAAACACACACTCACACACACACCACACACATAAACACGACGTATCGAACGCCGATGGGTAAATACTAATCGAGGCACCTCCCTGACCTGTTAGCAGAATGCGCAAGATTTAGTTCCCCTAAAATATGACATTTAACCCGCACTACCCAATCCGTCTAGGTAATTATCACGCGCTATGAATTAGTACAAAAACAATGCAGCATTATTGGAAGACTAAGCAAACGCACAGACGGCATGGGGGCACGCAGTGGCGGGGCGGGCGTGTCCTCGCGCGGCTATTTGCGCCGGCGGCGACGGCACGGGATGCTCTTAAATGGAAGTACGAGAGAGCGCGGCGGCGCGGGCGCTGCGGCCGTGTCGCCGCGAGCCTTGTACGGCACCGTCCGCCCGTATATATGCGCGTGCGCGCCACCGCGCTCTCTGTCGCCGCCCGCCACCAGACGCAGTGAGTGTCCGCTGCCCTGCTCTCGCTGTCCGCTCGCTTCCCACCCTGCTCGCTAGTGCTTTTGCTTCTGCTGTCCGTGGCTGTGCTCCGAGTGCCTGTGTTACTGCCTGTGTATAATTGCCTGTGTGTAATTGCCTGTGTGTAATTGCCTGTGCGCGTGCTCGAGCTCGACCCCACGTCGCAGCACATCGGCGTATATTCTCTCCCAGAAAGGAAGTGGAGTTGGCCGGTATGCCCCTCGGCCTCGACGTGTCTCCCGGCAGCATGCAACCCTGATCGACCCACGACCTTTTCATTTTGTACCAATGCCCCTCCTAGGTAAATCTAAATTGAAAAAAAAATTACTTGGAAATCATCTGACACAGTTGCCGTAGACCCCTAATCATAAATACGGTATCCTTAGTTCGGTTTTCTGGAATGTATTTGATTCATATGTGAATAAGTTTGCCTCAGTCCCGTGCTTGTGTTTGAATGGGTTATTTTTTGAAAACCTTTTACTAGCGATATAGCTTTGATACCGTTGTAGTATTTTTCTCACATGTCATCGTCACATGTCATCGTCATATCGCATCTGTGGCCGGCGGAAACCGAAGTCAGCAAACCATGTTCAACATTTGCTAACAATATTGTTTTTTTAGCTCATTCGTGTCTCTCATAAAAACACTGTAAAAGTATAAACACATAATAAAGCATTCTTTCCCTAAAACCTATCTGATGGCTGTGATTTGCTCTTTTTGTTCAAAATTTCAACTGACACAATTTATAATGTCAAATGAAATGAAATCAAATCATTTATTTCTTTACATTGGATTGATAACAGAACGCACGAAAACATTACAGTAAAATGTGTCTTCTGGTGATTTGTACAGACGTTAACAATGAATGTCGTTCATGCAGGTGTTGACGAGCGAGTGCAGTTTGAGCGAGCGAGTCAGCAGCAGTAGCCGACATGTGTGACGACGATGCGGGCGCGCTTGTAGTGGACAATGGCTCCGGCATGTGCAAGGCAGGCTTCGCCGGTGACGACGCGCCGCGCGCCGTCTTCCCGTCTATCGTGGGCCGTCCTCGCCACCAGGGTGTAATGGTGGGCATGGGTCAAAAAGACTCGTACGTGGGTGACGAGGCCCAGAGCAAGAGAGGTATCCTCACTTTGAAATACCCCATCGAGCATGGTATTATCACTAACTGGGACGACATGGAAAAGATCTGGCATCACACCTTTTACAACGAGTTACGCGTCGCGCCTGAAGAGCACCCAATCCTGCTTACAGAGGCCCCGCTCAACCCAAAGGCCAACCGCGAGAAAATGACACAGATTATGTTCGAGACTTTTAACTGCCCCGCCATGTATGTCGCCATCCAGGCCGTGCTCTCTCTTTATGCTTCTGGTCGTACCACCGGTATTGTGCTGGACTCCGGTGACGGCGTCTCCCATACTGTGCCCATTTATGAAGGTTACGCCCTTCCCCATGCTATTCTCCGCCTAGACTTGGCCGGACGCGACTTGACCGATTACCTTATGAAGATCCTCACGGAGAGAGGCTACTCCTTCACCACCACCGCCGAGCGAGAAATTGTTCGCGACATTAAGGAGAAGCTATGCTACGTCGCGCTGGACTTTGAGCAGGAGATGCAGACGGCGGCGGCGTCCACGTCACTGGAGAAGTCATATGAGCTTCCCGACGGTCAAGTCATCACCATCGGTAACGAGAGGTTCCGCTGCCCCGAGGCTCTCTTCCAGCCGTCCTTTTTAGGCATGGAATCGTGCGGTATTCACGAGACCGTGTACAATTCCATCATGAAGTGCGACGTCGACATCCGCAAGGATTTGTACGCTAACACAGTACTATCCGGCGGCACCACCATGTACCCAGGTATCGCCGACAGGATGCAGAAAGAGATCACCGCTCTCGCTCCCTCCACCATTAAGATCAAGATCATCGCTCCCCCCGAGAGGAAGTACTCCGTATGGATCGGTGGCTCCATTCTGGCCTCCCTGTCCACCTTCCAGCAGATGTGGATCTCGAAGCAAGAGTATGACGAGTCGGGCCCCGGAATCGTGCACCGCAAATGTTTCTAATAAATTTATGTATCTCGTGCGCTTTTATTCGAATTTTATACCGGCCACTGTACAAATGTATTTACTTTGCTCACGCTCTCGGAGACTGCTCGCTCTTGCGTTATCGTGTAAGTGATTTAATTAAGGCAATGTGGTTTAATTATACTTTTTGTTACTGAACGCTTCGTTTCATTGTCCCGAACAGACAGCGAGGGACGAGGGGCACTGGGCGATCGCCCTTAAAAGGGCCCGCGACGCCATTGGCTGGCACGCTGTATAAATAACCATTGCATTGTGATCTCAGGTTAATTCGGGCCATCGGCTGCTGCCAATAATCTATGCATAGAATTGCCGCAGCGCTAATCGATCACCCTGCGCCCCTCACACCCCGCTGATGTTTAACTGCACTCCGTCCACGTGTAACTTAAATTTAATCTGAACTGTGATTAAGTACCGAGACATTTAAAGCAACAGTTAAACCAGAGTCACTGCTATTATAACCGATTACTTGACACGCAATATTGAACAAGAATTATAATAGTAACCACCTATAAAAGTAAGTAAATTTACATTATTTCGTTTCGGTTTTGAAGAGTAAGGGTGCTGGTGAGGCACATGGGACTTGTCAACTTATGTCTCAGGGTGCGATTTAAAGCTCTGAGTGGCACTGCAACTGTTATGGACAGGCGTGTAGCTTACCACCACGCGCACGACTTGTTCGCCCGTCAATTGATATTATAAAAAAAAATACAGAGAAACCGAGTATACTCACCCAAGTATGCGTGAACCGTACAGTAGGAACAAAAAAAATCTTGATTGAATTGAAAAGTAGAGAAAGAAAACAGCTTTGTATCGAGGGACAGGTGCAGAGAAACAATTCTGGTCCATGTTCCATTGTTTATATCGCCATCTTAAAAAAATACATAGACGTCTACGTGTATTTACATAAATTTGACAACATATTACACCGAAAGCGGCGCAGTGAGGTGATCGCGCGTAACTCTAGTACTCAATGCATCAAGAACTCAGGATTTAGTTTTAGTTGAATCGTTCAAACGAGTACAAAAATAATATATTTTTTTACAAAAGTACTCCTTTGAAGCGTCTTAATTGAGCAGAAACTAGTAAGTAAAATAGATTGATACGAGGCCCACCTCACTACACCGAAAAAACATTAAGTATTTGATGCTACGCTCTCAGGTCCGTACTATTGGAAGGGCGGCACTTCACGACCGACGGTGACGTCACCACTACTCACGGCACTCGATGGCTCGACACGTACACTAAACACTGACCGCGGTCACGCGCGCGTGAGGCGCAGCGCCTACAGCAGGCGCGTGTCGGGCGGCGCGTCGTCGTCGCTGTCGGCGCACTCGAACCGGATGTGCCTGGCGTTGACGTTGGCGCCCCCCGCGCGCCGCGTCGGATTCACGTCGTCGCGTGTCGGCTCACTCGCGCCGGCGCCCGCGCCGCCCGCCGCTAGTCACACTTTGTCTTCCGCACCAGCCGCCGATCGCACGAACTGCAACAGACGCGCGCTCTCAGTAGAGAGACCGAGCTGTGCGCGGAGGCGCGGCGAGTACCTACCGATACGGTGGTGGCAGTGGCGGAGTTAGCACGCGGCCGGAAGGTGAGCACGCGCCAGCGCCGTCGCAACTGCGCCAGCACCTCACCGTTGCAGAAGCAATACAGCACGGCCACGCACAGCCCCTGCGGTGAGATACTCAGCGCTGACGCGTACTCGTATGCGCGCCACCAACTGGACGAGCGCTCAGGTCGGATGGGAATCAGCAGGTACTGCAGGCCCAGCAACGGTGCCAGTAGGCACGTGGCGCGCAGTGCGTGCAGCGCCGTGGCGGAAGGCCGTGCCGCGCCTGCGCCTAGCGCGCCGCCCGCGCGTAGCTTTGTACATAGCACGCGCACGATGTTCATCAGGAAGGCCAGGTTCAGCAGAATGGCGGCCAACGCCAGCACGGCCAATTCCGGACGCAGCTCGTCCTCGTCGAAGTCTATCCAGCACAGTTTATCGCTGCCGGTCAGCCGTCGCGCCACGTACACGATTACTGACACCACTGGCGACAGCCAACCCACAGCCAGTAGCGCGCGTAGCAGCTTGCGCTCGGATACGAACGCATGTACGAGCACCGTGTGTAGGTAAATGCCCTCGCAGAGCATCCACATGTAGTTGGTGACTAGCACGTACTGTAGCAGCGCATTTAGGGCACGGCACCAGACTGGTGAATTGCTCATCGTATAAGGGTCCTTCATTACCAGCTCGTACACGCAAAGCCACAGCACGTTGTTGGCCGCAAATGACGCGAACAAGTTCATGTGCACCGTGATGCGCGCGCACCGCAGGTTCCTAGAACAGACATGCGGTCACTAGCGGCCACAGCAGACTCCAGTGAACACTACTATGCACTTACTTGAAATAGATCAGGATGGCGAGCGAGAGTAGCAGTGCGAGCAGCGAAATTCCATAGCCGATCTCGTACACGGTGACCACGTCGCTCATAGTCTGCACACGCCAAGACAAGTGTATGTAATCACTTCACCGCGTCAAGCGCCAGAGAGTGGAGCGATACCTACGTCTTCAACGACACAGGTAGTGTAATTGGACCAAACGAGGTTTGTATCTGGATGCCGGAACCATGTGCCATTCGCCGTGCATTCCTTGTGCGCCAACACTGCAAATACAGCGACAAATCCGATACTCGCATATTTTTATACCCTCACAGCAGGAAATAGAGAGCGAATACTTACGTTCCTTCTTGAAGCCAGGAATGAAATCGGGACAATTGAGATAGGCGACGGTGCCTGCGGGCGTGTGTGGCCAGCAGAGCCACATGTCGTAGGTGCCCTCACAGTAGAGGCCGGCCGGCGGCGCGGAGCGACTGTTAGCTGTCGTGCAGGCCAGTCCGTCGCGCGCCTGCCGCTCTGCATCGTGCATCATCAGCGCTTCGTGCTCTGACGAGTTCATCGCGCGCGCAGGTGGGGGCCGCTGATAGCGTCGTCATCGCCCGCACGCCGTAACCATCGATCTCTTTGGCCTCCGGGCCGGATGCCTGAAAGCAAAGTTCAATAAGTCATAATAGTAGCCCAGATAATATAATACTTAACTAGGTGGTGGGTATCGGTAGTGTCATCAAAATCTCATTGCGCTTCCGGCTGCTGAGCCTATGCGCGAGGTCGATTTTCGTTACGGAGGATACTTTGAATTACTTTGAATTTTACTTTTAACACAGATTTTATCAAATTTTGCAAAATAGAACAGTAATTAAAGAGAAAGTACAATTAAAAACCAAATTGTCTCGTGTAGCTCAATCATCACTTGAGATAACAGCAATGTCTGTGAGGGCGCGAGCGTATCTTCTATTTAAATGGTAATGCCGGCGTCGGCTCATGTTGTATTCATACATCTCGACTGATTTATTTATGGTCCCCTTAGCCAGATTGTATCACACATCTTCTCCTTTTACATTTTCATGCTTTCCTCTACCAAAAGCTTAATCATCGTGTAATTGTGACGTAAAGTACGCATCGTACTGCGCAGAAAACAAGGAATTTCGACTATGCTGTTACGTGACTCTATGTTTATTTTTAGCGGACATATAAAAACTTTACTTGCAAATAAAATCGCTAGAACGGCGAAAATATGAACACGATAATTGTAGTATATTAGAAATTTATAAAAGTAGTCACACCGCAGTTTAATAATTATTAGCAAGAGTTTTCAATACTGCGCAAAGCCTTGTCAGCTACCTCTCTCTACAACAATAAAGCCAACAAGATTGGATATAATTTTCACTTTATAATGTCGTAGGCTTATTGTTTCGGTAAATTACAATTTATTGTAAACAGGGCTCAATGAAGACGCTTTGTAGGCCGCGACATGAATATGGCAAAAAAAGGCATTCCCTTCACGACATATCCTTTTAGCTGAGAAATTCCTTGGAGAGTTGGTGTGCGCGCCATTACCAATTACCGACGTACCGATAATGAACACATCATTACCATCAATTATTATTTATTGCTGATACGTGCAGCGCTCTCAGCGATTAAGGCGACGGTAAAAATGGCACGATGGGCCAATTTCGATTTACTTGACGTTATTTAATTTCTCGAACTGCGGGAAAGTAAACAAAATGAAAATTATGAAAACTTGCAGGTTCTTTACAATCGAAAAGAAAGTTCGGCTTTGTTCGATCGGCGGGAAGTTAATGTAATGAAAAAGTTGATAGGAGGGAATCGCTGTTTTTCGCCGCCATCGCGGCCGAGGCGACCATGATTGGCGAGCGCCACGCATTAGCGCTAATTACTCGCGTCGCAAGTGGTTAATGGCTAAGCTTTAGTGCCGAGGTGCGCTCGGTGTCCTTGGGCGGCTGGCGTGGTGTTTATGGCTTCCGGCACCAAAGTCATAGTCATAGGTCATTAATATAAACGAGAATTAAGAAAGGTCCAAGTGCTGAGCCCTTCGGAACACCCATACTTACTGAAGAGCTCAAAGAAGTCACTCGATTTATGTCTACTATCTGAATTCTATCGCTGAGATATGACGAGATAAGCCTTGCCATTTACTCCGTAATATTTCAACCTCCTAACAAGAGTAATATGTTCCACACAATCAAATGCTTTTGGGAGGACACAGAAAACCCCACAGCGTTCGGGAACTTTCCCAAGCATCAAAGACGTGTTTTAGAGGCATATTGTAGGCAGGCAGGGTGGAGGCGGCTAGTGCAGTGAGGATTCCATCGCTCCACTAGGTTCCTTCGCGTTTGGATACCACTTTCCACTTAACATCAGGTGGAGTGGAGTCATTTGCCTGTCAGGTATAAAAAAAAAAAAAAAAAAAAAAAAGTAGTCATACCCCGCATCGCTAGTCGGTCTACTGCTGGTAAACCCATATTATACACTATGAAAAATGTGATTCCTACCGAAATAGGACAGTAGTTGAGTCAAAACAACAAACAACGCATACTCTCATAGCCTCTATCCGCACTAGCCCTGCCACTAATCCTGTATCGCGAGTGCCATGGACACACACATAGGTAGACAATCACAAATTATACCCAAACTCACGAGAAAAATAAATGTAGACCATACAAATATGTCTCCCGGCCCGGGAATCGAACCCGGGACCTCTGCATGTCAGTTAAGCGTTGTAACCGTTGGACCATGGAGGCAGTTAAAGTCAGCACAACTTTTCGAATATTTTACTTAAAGCTGGTAGAATTGAAATAGGTCTATAGTTGTTGGAATCAACTTTCCTACCTCTTTTGAATAAAGGAATAACCTTACTGTATTTCACCAAATCAGGAAAAATACTTCGTCGATGCACCTTTGGAATGCAACAACTAAATGTGGGGAAATCATATAAATTACCGAGTCTATAACTTTACATCGACGACGACTTTAGACGACGATCTAAAGTTATATAGACTTAGTATTTTATGTGATTTCCCCTTATCTGATTACATCTTTTGTTTTTTAACATGTATAGATTTAAAAGGTTTGATTATGTTTTGCGGATTAATGTGATGAAAATTATAATTATACTGCCACAAACATCAATACTATTCTCTAGGAGATCCATAGCAAGAGCAGGAGAGGAATTTAATGATTCTGTAGTGTTCACAGCGATTTTCGAAAAAAATGATTCGAAAGCTTGAGCTACCTCATCTTCAAGTTTGCCGTCTAATTCTAGAACTATATCTCTATCATGTTGTTTAACCCTGTCTGACTCTTTATTTATTCGATTGTATAATTTTATCGCTGTGAAACTTAACCGTAGCAGCTATGCATACTTTTTAAATAATTTTATCATAATTATTGTATAAAACTGGTATTAGTATTACAACTTTTTATGGCATATAGCTCATACAAACGAGACCTACTCTTATGAATGCCTACTGTTGCCCAGTCGTTGCATTTAGTCTCTTCAATGGAAAGTTAATGTTTCGAATTGAATACGTTATCAAATTTATTTTTAATGCAACTAAATATCGTGCTATATAAAATAATTAACTGTCTCTGTGGCCGAATGGTTACCGTACCGGCCGGACTGACACGCAGAAGTCCCAGGTTCGATTCTCGGGCCGGGAGAAATATTTGTATGGCCTACATTGATTTCTTTCGTGAGTTTGGGTGCAATTTGTTTCTATCTATGTGTGTATCCATGGTACCCGCGATATAGGGTTTCCGTAGTACGGTGCTATGTTGAGTGTGTGTGTTATCATTATTAAAATTTATTTTTTCGAACTTGCGGTATATGAGGCAGAGAACTTAAAATACTGCAGATTATTTTAAAATCTAATAACTTGTACTATAGTAATCGGTCTGGAGAGAAATTGGTCTACCTTCTTGCTCACTTTGCAATTAAAAGAAGCCGCTATGGTCTGGTCTTAAGCAATTTATTATTGATTTAGATGCTGCGTCTGTGTTGCAAAGGGGCCGTATACACACAATTAAGACGACAAACTGATCCAATTCCACGATCATCATGACATGGAATCTCAATAGTCCGTTCAATGGAAATAGCTATGATATCCTCACGCTCTTTAAATTTTAAGTTACGCTTAATAATAATCATGGATCCGCCTCTACTAACTTCTTTCCTATGAACGAACTGCCTATTACTATTAATAACGACTTTTCAAATATTTTTTCATTTATGTGACCGACGATGGTACGAGTTTGTCTAAAACGTACCTGTTTACTCTAGCCTTGAGAAGCTCCGAATTAATAATTATCAGACGAACAACACTCGGCATGGGCTTCCTAGTGCACTTTCTACTACTACTAGTCCTACTAGTTTGCATCTTTGATTACGTGCTAAGATGCATGAACTCACATCGACAAAGTAGATGTCGTATATTTTGATTACGCAAAGGCTTCGATCTAGTGGCCAAGAAGACGATGTTCAGACGATTTCATGAGCATGACGATCCTGCTGAAATTCTCGGCTCTAGGGTTTACTCCAAAACTGCTAATATCTTACCCGAGAGACCGCAGGCAATGTGCAAGTGTCAGCTTTCAGATCAAAAGACTATTTCACTCGATCCGGTGTGAATCAGGGGAGTAACTTAGGCCCAACTCAGTTTTTGATTATGAAGGATGATCTGACGCATTCTATAACGGGAGCGTACCCTGTGTTGTTTGCAGACAACTTGAAGGTAATAATAATAAACTTTTTATTTGCACCAATTTGGATCACTTATGTTAGTTTGGCTACATACACGATTGTTAGTTACGTACAAATTAGAATGACATCATTTGAATAATTTTATAACATCCACTGCTCAACACAAAAATAAAATAAATTAAATTAATCAGTTTTAATTAAATAAATTACGTTATAAATTTGGACATAATATACCCACTACAACTTAATAAACAGACAAATACCATTATTGAATTCTAATAGAATTATTATTAAAATGGTTTATATGAACCCTGCCGCAATGAGCAAGACATATACAGTCGAGTCTGTTCGCAATCACGTAAAGGAAGCTGTTTGTGCTTGCACCCATTCTGCTCGTCAGACGCTTATTCGTTATAATAGAGGCTATTACAACGAATCTCATTGCGATGCACTTGAACGAGTGGCATCGGCCACAGAATCGTCTGTAACAGAATGAAGTGCTACCAATAGAGTACAGCTTCACGCACTGAAATGTAAGCCCATTAGTTTCACACGATCCAATAACACTATAATCGCGAACTAGCACATGGCGGATGCCCTGCTTGACCGAGCCAGTTCAATTCAGGATTTAGGTATCTCTATAGGTACCAGATTGCAAAAGTACGAACAGGGTAGGTACTCGACTTTATAAGAAGAACAGAGTCTCAATTCCGTGACGATAGAGTTGATATATTATTATTGTTACACAATGCCCTCAGCCTCGTTCGAAGCAAGCTCGAATACAGAGCAATTGTATGAAATCCTTGTGAAAAAAATGTAGGTTATTAATTGAGCGCATCCAACCCAAATTCACTAGGCACCTGTGCAAGAGGCGTTAAAGTTGCTATCCGTTTCTACACCCATGTTTGTTTGTCTCCGGAATGATCGGTCTAGAGACTGTAACTAACACGGGCATTAAAGGCACGTGCCCACTATTGTTTACTTTTACGAAATAAAGTGGATAATCCTCTCGTCTTAGAAAAAACCCGGTCCGTTTGTGCTACAATCGCGGCGCGCTGGCAACTTATTTGCCCTGTCATTTGGGATGGTTCGGATCCGGGAGGCCACCGGGAAACGAGTCAACTGAATTACATAAACTAGTAAAACCTGTACTGATAATTCCACCGATAACTGTAAATATAGCTGCATCACGGGCTAACTAAACAGATTTAAATTATACGATCATTCGTGTCATCCGATGTACACGCACAAAAATAGCAAGAAATATGTTATTGATAAAAAATCACAGAACTGTAAATCGTTGATGGTAGATTTCATGATTGTTTTAAATAGAGGCCTTAAGGATTCAATACAGTGGAATTTAAATTTCAAAATTCGTATTTTACAGTTATTATATTCCAACCATTTTGTATTTGAAATAAAATACAATAATGTATTTCAATTTACCTGACTTTAAGAAATTATTTTCTACACAAATTTTTGCTCTTCCTTCCTAATTTGTACTCGTGTAAAGCCGTGCGTGACCGGATGCAGGTTAAAAGACGCGCGACGCGATTGGCGATGCGATTGCGACTCAGCATGGGTTTACAATAAATGAGTACAATAAAACGAAACGACTCCGCTGAGGCAATTCGAGCGTCGAGCGGCTACTCCGTATGCTACGTCCATGTCTGTAGTACCCGAGTGCACTACAGGCGCACATTGGATATGTGCCATTAGTGCTTTAAAGCGAAACATAATACCGATATCGTAAGTTAAAGCTATTCACCTGCACTCCAGCCTGGACTCCTCCATACGAGTCCCCCGGCAAATTCGCGCAAGGACGGTCGCTCATCCTTTCCTCGAAAAAACTCAGAGCACCTTCCAGCCCCTCTATGTTGAGGTGCTACGCTGTCATGAGCAATTAATGCACTTTATTGAGTCTTACTTTATTACTCACTTTACTAAGACTTAATTTATAGACCTCTATTTGAAATACTCGCTCTATTTAAACAATTTGCAACTCTATGAGGTAAGTACTCGTTACCGGCCACCAAAATCAAAGACACTTCCAACTGACTTAGAACCGTACATATTGGGTATCAGTGCTTAATTTTTAAAGTGAAGGAAAAAAAATGTAAAAAAATGAAATAAAATTGTCACTGCTGAATTTTAGTACAACATTTATTTGCTGTTGGGTTACATCTACTTGGTGTAACGGGCTGGTGTCTGCAACTCGACGTTACAACTGAGTTACAAGTAATTCATAAAAAATGCACAAAAAAATGAATGGCAAAAATAAATTTGTACGATTTTTTATCGAGTTCTTAGGTTTTCGCTGTTACACACAGGATATGAAACTATTTTTCGGATTTTAATCGCGTATATATGTTTTTTCAAATAAACCGACGTTTCGGGCCCTTTACAGGTCCCATGTCACTGTTGACTGAGGTGGTACAGTCATCAACCAGTTACGTCAAATATTAATGCAAACCACCCTATTTTTTACTATAATTACAAAAGTTATTCATTAAATACCTTATTTATAATTTTACAAATAAACATTCCAATTTACGCTACATTACGCTTTACAAATTATCTTATTGAATGAATTTTTATTAAGTTCAATTTATTATTAATTAATAATACAATTAGAATAAATTAAAACATATTAATTAATACTGTAGTCTTATGTATGTTTGGCATTTTTCATTAGAGGAAATACTGGATTCCAAACTGGTGGTACGGAGAAACCATCTCCCCTGTTGAAATTAGGATGTTTTTACTTTCAATGGCCTCTCGCAGCATCCTGGGTAGACAACGGACTTCTTTTACAAGGACCTGGGGTTTGTCAAAGTTGCTCGCAGACACAGACTTGTTTAAATCCGGAAAAATAGTCTCATTTCCTATAAAATAAACAATTGTTATAATTATTAATACAAAGTCTTCTTCTTCTCTTACAAAGACGTCTTCTGGCATACGGCCGAATCGAGTCTTTGTATTAATAATTATAACAAACTAGTGGAGTAATTTCACAAAAAATAATTGAATATCAATTGAATACAAAATTTAAAATAAATAATTATTAAAAAATGATTTAATTTTTTTGTCGCGCACCCTGCATTTGATCTCGGTTAATACCACCCCATTCTCAATGAACTTCAACGATAGGTGTTGGTCAAAGGTGTAGGGACGTCTTTGAGATATGCCAACGAAATTAATGCCAAACGTCATAAGCGTGTTGCGAACTCTCTTGGCGTCGTGGGCGCACGCGCAGTCGACGGCAGTGAACACATCGAAATAAACGGTTGAAAATCAGAGCAACTTTGGTACATACGCTTGCAGCTTCGTGTTTCGCTTCATAAAATCAATCTTCCGCGGAGATTGAGAGAGATACTGCGTATATTTGTGAGATGAAACTTAGTTGCCAATTCTGCACAACACCTATATTGCGAAGATCTGAAATCTTCGTTATGTCAACGTCAGCAATGTTGTACTGTGACCGGAGTTTGAGAGTTTGTGTGAAAACAATTTTGCTATTCAGTATCGCGCCGCCAACCCTAACCTGCTCCGACTACGCGATGCACCGTAATCGTGAGTTGTGCTCAGAGTTATATAAAGCAAACTCACTGCGTGGAATTAATAGAAATGGTCATCACGATACACCTAGATGCGTTTTTGCGTAATGTGCATCGGAATCCCCAACTTCGGCGACGAATCTCTTTAAGTTCACGGCTCCAAGTGGGTCGGAACCGATCTAGTAAAGACGCAGTGACACCAACCGAACCAAGTATCAACAATAACAACAGGTATGAAGAACTTTTTAAAAGCGTTATTGAAGTCTGAGTACGTAGTATCCCAGTGTCTACCTTTTTAAGGGCTCACCAGTAAGAGAATTTATTATTATTATTACGTTTCTGTACATCGCCCCCGTTCCAGGTGTTTTTAAGAGCCTCTGATCCTCATTTTGTAGACAGGAATTCTCGACTTTTAGAAAACTCGGAAATATACCATCTCTGACGAAAATTTTAATGTGTTGCGGTGGTGGTAAAAATAAGTTATTTGTGACTAGTGGTCACAATTAACCATAGTGAAAATAGAGTGATTTGCATTAATATTAGACATAATTACTTGATGACTTCACCAGCACAGACAGCCGTGGTCACGTTTCTCACATGGCATGGTCATTCAATTACCTACATGTCCCATTTTTCCTACTATCAATCTTGTCTCGTGTAGTGGGTAACGGGTTAGTTATACAGATATCATTCGAATGTAATTGTAAGACGTCACGAATTTTCCGCTGATTGTCTGCATTCGTGTATAGTAAGACCGGTATGATCATATTGCTTATTTGTACTGTGCACTTTTCGTAAATGTGGAGTGAGAGCCGATCATCGCCTTTAGGTTCAAATGTTTTTGTGGTCATTGAAAAATTAACTACCTGTTACTGTCTGCGAAGAACAATACCCGCTAGATTCACAGCTGAAAAGTGATTTACTTTCTATGAAATCCTGTATTGGAAAATGTTATAACAGTATGTGTCTGTATGTCAATTAGTGTATGTAGTTTTGGTGAAATCACAGGCATATGAAACTAGTCAACTTATGTCTCAGGGTGACGGGCGCAGCGGCAGAGCCCCTCAGATCTTTGCGATTTAAAGTAAAGTAAAAAACTTCACTTATGTCATTCTTCCACGAAAGGTGCGAATTGTTTCTGAGGAAGCTATGGAGTCGAACTTCTCGCCTCGAGGCCTATAGACAATAACACGCAGAATTTAGACGACGAATGCGCAGACGCAACCAGAGCGCCTCCCGCGTGAAATTGCGGCCGCGTGATGCGTGTGGCTCGTGTTGGCCACTCACCCACTCTGTCACCCGTCCGCGCTATGCGAGTGCAATACTGTTAGATAGTAATTTTGCATTAACACTCCACACTACTTTAGTTTAAAAAGCATATGATTACGCAGGTGTAATATTTTGCTCTAGAAGGGAATGTCGGAAATACCTTCACAGGTTGCGGGTTCAATAAATGAAAGTTACTTATTAGAACTTTGTATTTTCATTAGTATTGCTGCTGATCTCGAACAAACCGGAATACTTTTCAATATAATCTTAGTCGAAAATACTTGTCGGTGCGCTGGAAATTTCCCAAGACAAGACGTACTTTTTCTGAGTGTTTTTTCTGAGTGTTCGATCTTTGTATTAATAATTATAACAAACTAGTGGAGTAATTTCACAAAATATAATTGAATATCAATTCAATAAAAATTTAATTAAGACGTAGTACTCAATAATTAAGGGACACGACCTGCACAAGTATCTCCGCCAAGGAAGTTTGATAGACACGAACAGGCCGCTCTACTTACAACTAGAGCCTGAACAAAGCACACCAACGCAGACGCCGCGCCGCCGCCGCTTTGGCGCAGCACCGCAACAGCTCGTCGGTCGTAACAATTAGTAACTAGTGTAGTGCTACGTTCTGCAAACTCCTCTGTTCAGATCTAAAACAATTAGGAAAGAAATGGTCAAAACAATTTATTAACACATGTACGCAATATGTAAATGAGCTTTTTCGATACACAGAGGTATATTTCTGTTTCAGTGTGTAAACAATACGAACATGAAGTCCCTCAAATTTGTGTTTTTGTAGAACTGTTGTAACGTCGAAATCGACATCGTCGAAGTCCACAAGAAGCAACAGCGCACGACCGGGATACAGATACAAGATGATGAGTGGCGGGTGAAAAATAAAACTCGAAGCGAGGTCAAGTGGCCGATATCGCTGCGGCCGTTACAAGCCAGAGCAAGCCGCTAGCAGCACCAGAGCCATGATTTACGATAATGATAATTAAATATTTGAAAAAGACGAGAAACAGACGCCGACCCGCAGGACGGCACGCCTCTCGGCGCGGCGGGGAGCGGCCCAGGCGCAGCTGTAAACACAGCCGTTAATTCTTTTTTTATCACCGCCGGCAATCACACATGTAGCAAGTCTAACTAAGCAGATGTGTGATGCGAGATAAAAATCCGAAGGAAGGGCGTTTGCGATTCCATTATCAATTATTCCGTCCAGATATTGCTGACGATCAGCCAAATTGCGTCAGTTAAGCACGGACCGACCGTCCTCTGGGACCGAAGCCAGACGGACTATGGCGACTGTGAATGTAATGCTGATGGGAACACAATAGACAGTATGTTGGGAGCAGAGAGCGGTCGACGTTCTCGGCAGGAACAGTACAATAACTGTATGACACCCGTACTGCGCATTAATTCACACAAAACCCCATTACTTGGAAAGGCCTCTCGCGCGCACTACATTCATACGTACGCACGTATGAATGTTTAATGAATGTGCGTAATAATTCAATGCCACGAGGACTCATCCGTGAGTTTGAAGTTATTCACATTCCGATTGTGTTTTCGATTGCTGTACCATTAGCGTCTGTGCATAAATTATCGGCTAAATTAAGTTCTGATTGCTCACTTTGAAAACGCAATAATGAGAATTGTCGACCAAATTGCCAGCCACGTGTCGCTTCGGGGTTTTTATTTTTGAATACAATGCCAACACTTCCTAGCACCTTTGTGAAAAAGTACCCACATGTATTACATTGAAGCGAATTTTGTAACATGCGTCGTCTCCGTGTTTCATTGGTTCACTAGATGGTACGACTGTGGTGTGCTGTGGCGTCATTCGCAAAAGACAAACATAACACATGAACAAATGGGAGCGTTTGGTGAAACGCGTTGTATCATAGTAATCGGATACAACCAAGTTGCCAATCTGCTTAAAGTTCCTTGTGAGCACCGCCCCCACTCTTAAGGCTAATATTTGGTCGCCGTAGAGTGCTGCTTAGTTAATTATGGTAATGACTTCGCCCGAGAATACTTCGGCATCGTTTTGCCTTACCTACACTAAAGGCATCGTAACAATCGACTCTTACCGCCGTAGTCGACCTTCGAGTCTGAAGAGACAAAATTGTGCAGCAGTTTCATTAGTCCTGATATCTTATTTACTGATTAAGCTGCGCCTTGATTTCTATTATTGTCAAGTAGAGATCAAAAAACAAACTTGTTTGCTTTCAAAAGCATCGTCCGAGAGGGCTTAATAGAATGTCAGGTCGCGACGTCCACATCGTACGTGATAAGTGCCGCCGCTCGGCAGCGCGCGCGGCAGGGGAGCGGACGAAGCGGGGGGCAGTGGCCGTATAGTGGCCATAAAGCCGCAATAACCGGCGCCGACGAAATTACAATTAAGTCGTAAATATCCGTCGTCTCCGTCGCCGAACGACTCAATATGTGCGAAGCGAGCAACGAGTTGCAATCTGTTCGATCGCCGTTCATTCATCTGTTGTCAGCTCCAGGCGTCGCCCGCCCACTGACTGAGAGCCAGACATCGTCGTCTATTTTGTCACATAGGTAATTAAGTAATCATGCACGCCAGATGACGAACATCAGTGTTGCACCTGCATGGAAGGTGTATAATATGTACCTCTAAGCTAATCTTACACTAATTTCTACAACTTTTTCACTGGAATCATTACAGGCACTATAATGGTTGCTGACTGTAAGCAAATTTTTAAATTGTCGTTGCAGTTGCCCCCCAGAGACACACATGACATGCCATTCCCCGAGCCTTGCGTGCTGATGCCAAACGGGATCAAACATTTAGCAAGGACACGGACGAAGTCCATTTGAGGTAACAATTTGGTGCCTATGGGTACATGGGTACATAGTACCCGCAATAAATTTATGTGCCGGGATTAATTGTCTGAGAACGTGGTTGATAACGTTGTTAATATATCTTACCAGCCGTCACTCAGCCAGTGTTTGTACAACTCGCCGTTGACACGATGGCGGGACGGTGAAGGCACGACCACGATAACAAGATAATGCCGCTACAACTGGAAACAAACACAATAAATATTTCAATGTTCCGTTACTACTTTTGCCGACAGGGACGGGCAACCTAACAGTCGGTGCGGCTCTCAATGTTTCAATTTTGCAATGTAGGAGGCGAGCGGACGGTGCCATTTTGGCGGGCGTCGCCGAAGCAAGTACTCCTAAATAATGGTGCTAATTGTGAGGAAAAGTTAAAGAGACGCTGCGGTAACCGAATTAGATTTCCGGACGACGCGGCGGCCGTTTGTTTGTGCCAATCGAATCGCAAAACGCGACATTTCATTGCCCACTGCCAATGCACACGCGTTGCGAAGGCGCTGTTGCATGCTAGATTCTACATCTTCATCAAGGAGCACGCAAAGAAAGACTCTGCTAGACGAATTCCGGTCACTAACTTACTAAACTTTCTCCGGCATAATAAATTAATTACATGAGTTATTGGCCGAGAGATAGTTTGGCTTGTTCCTCGTCGTTTTATATTTAGCCACGTTGCAAGCGCACGACTTGTTCGTACCGTCACTAGGTATTATAAAAACATGAAAAGAAAGCGTCTGAGAGTAACGAATTATAATACGCTCCCCCGCACGTCCTGCTTACCCCGCACACAATGCTCAAATATTATGCATCAACCACAAAAACAAAACTTAAGTGTGGGTTGCGACAGACGTCACGAATTTCAGTATACAAATTAAATTTAATTATTATTAGGGCCAATAGGGGCATCCATCCCGAAATAAACAATCTGTCCAAAATCCATGTTTCGTCACCTGTTACTATATCCCACACCAAATTTGACGCCCCTTCGTTGAATCTGGTAAGCATGGCATTGCACCAAGTGACGCGACTCGTTTTTTGAGCCTCAGTCAAATTGTGTGGTATCCACCAAGGGCACAGCCAAATTATCGCACCCAAATGTTTGTATGGTTTTGATTGTATTTGACTCATGCCTATGCCAAAAGATGCCCGAATCTCGTGCTATGTCACATGCCTGTCTATATCGATCATACGGCGCACAGTGTCGATCTTTTTGTTGTTCACAGCAGTGGACGGGCGACCATCAAGAAATTCGTCACTGAGACTCACAGGACCGCGTTTGAATTCTGCAAACCTACCTACCTACAAATAGTCGTCTTGCATAGTGCTTCATCGCAAAAACCTGTTTGAAACCAAGCGAAGCCTTGCTGAGCTGTTAAATTACACTTAAAATCGTAGAAAATCATAGTACGAAAATTTTTACGAGTTAAATCCATGTTGATGTAGATAACCAATTTCTAAATGACGCCACAATGTAAAAACAAGTGACGGTCAGATGAAACAAACTGTATTCTACAGCCAAAGAGTTCCATTTTGAAATGTTGTAATTACTTTTTAAATATTGTTTATGTAAGTGGTCACTTCCGGAAACGTATAGTGCGCCCTATGTATTCAGAATTGTACAAAAAGTGTGGTAGTAATTAAAAAAAATAAGTAGCACTGGACACAGTTCGCGTCACCATCACAAATTGCCTCCTACGTACCTCTCGTTTCAACCTATTCCATTTTGGACTATTAGTTATCTTAATTAACATTTACATCAAATTACGAAACTCTATTATATATTTCAAAAAAGAAAAAGGATTTATAGAAGAAACAAAGAACTGATTAGCCCCATAACAATATTATAACACCTATACACGAACACGACAACAATATTTAAATACCTCCACACAAATAGATACCTAAACAAATACCATAAAGTAAAAATATTTATTATAATGATTATTATATTAATACAGAATAATACTTAAATACTTACATATTTATATAGGTTATACAAATACTTCAAGAATAATTCTCAATTATTGAAAATGCCTTCCCCTCGTTAGCTGTGCTCTCTATATTATAATTTGCAACACCACGTGAACGTTATGGAACACAATAAAGTATTAAGAGTAGCACGTGGTTCGAAAAGACTGAACGGCGCTGAACTGAGTCAAGATCTGAACTGAGTGAACGTTTATTCGCACCTCTGCTTAAGTGAAGGGAAGCATCGCGATGGACCAGCGCGCGGCGCGACTTACTGGCAGACTGACAGGCTGGCCTAAACCATCCCCTTGCAGGAGACGCGTGCTCAGTAGTGGAGCGTATCATGGGTTGATGATGATAATCTATGATTCCTGTATCAATTACCACTGGAGGACCGCTCCTCCGGTGGTAATTAAATCCCGGACCCTCTATATAATGAGCAAACGCTCTCTCAACTAGGCTATCGCTGCTTTGTACTAAGTTTTAACGTTATTTTATCTAAATCTCAAACCACCTTACTTCTGACCTTACCAAGTACAATCAATATAGTTCCTTCAATAGTAGTAGCCTTCATACAACCAACGGTTCACCTAAGTACAACGTAGTAGTGACGTGCGCTGCGTTAGCGTTGGCCTTTGACCTGAATACGAATATAGTCTATTTGCCTCTAACGGCTGAATTCGCTCCAAAGAGGCTTATTGACGTAATTGCAATCTCGTCGTCGGCGCAGGCGACGCGCTCATGTTGCTTAGGAAAGCTATCATTTGAATTCACTCCACACGCGGCCGCTTGTTACGCTTAGAATCGATTCACTGTTGTGGTACAACCTTCATGCAGTAGGCCCTCATATGACGTACGTTGCGTGCCCACAATTAATAGACTCGCACATGTCGCGACACATGCGTGCTGCTACAAGCATAGGGGCTGTTGTTGTGAACTCTAACACTCAGGCGACCTTGACAATACATTAGGACGAGTATCTCCGGCAGAGCGTACCCGGTGTTCGCCTCGACTCTCTCGTACCGAGCACAGCCCGCCCGCGCCGCGGCGCCTTATCTTGCGGCTAATGTGGCACCGCACTCGTAAAATTCGCCACGCAGTACGTGCTCTGTATATGAGTATGCCAAACAAAAGAATTACATCACTACAACTCCGGGGACATGTTTGTGGTCCTACTTAAGTGTGGCTTTAAAATTAATTACAAATTGTGACCACTTCTGCTACATTTAACGACACGTCTATGATTAATGCACTGCGTAATAAATTATCAGTACATGCGTACGCGCAGTCGCTGCGCACGTGCGCGTACACTGCTGAATATTGTCGAATCGTTTCACGCATGTTGAATCGTTCACACGCTAACGTACTTATTCATCTAGTGTCAGAAATTCTATTTCATAAAACAAATGGTGTAAGGAAAAAATACACCCATATAACACAGAATATAACATTTTAGGTTGAAAGCATGAATTTGCCCTCCTATATAGGAGAACTCAAATAAAATAAAACAGAAAACAATTTTTCAAAATACATTTGTTCCTGTACATTTCTTGCTATTTTGCTGCGAATTTTATTATTTTGCGGTAGAATAATGAGGGACGGGAAACCCATAGTGTTAAGACGGCCTAGCGTCCCGTTTCCCCATTTTCTTATAGATAATTACCCAAATTGCAGAGAAAATGGTTAACGGTAGAGGCGTAGTGAGGTGAATTTGTAGGGTAACGAACAACTTCAGGCTGCAACTCCTTTAAGGTGGAGATGGTTCGTTGGTAAGTTTGCGCTCGGGCGTGTAGAATAAGTGGGGAAGTGCGGCTGATTAGCCCTCTGTGAGTTTGGCCATCATCCGCATTTCTTCATAACGGTGGCGATCAGTTAACGTGGTGGTGCCAGATTTAAGGAAGAAGATCCAATATACGTAATTGGATTACTTCACGAGTGGTCCGCAAAACTGTTCTGTAGTTAACCTACCTACAGAATAGTTTTGAGTTTCTTCCTTGGACCATTGCGATTATCACAACGAATGAGTTTTCCACGACGGGTGCAATGGCGCGGTTTAAAATTCCATCACTTCCGTGTCGATTCTCTAAGACACCGGAGCCAGCGATGACGCAAATGGGTCAGCATGTGGGTATATTAGAGGTGGATGATTTTTTTCAAAATTAAATGGGACCACTATGGAGGTACCCTCTTTCCAACAAAAAAAGAATCATGAAAATTGGATCACAAATACCGGAGTTGTCGCGTAACATACATACAAAAAAAAAACAGTCGAATTGAGAACCTCCTCCTTTTTTGAAGTCAGTTAAAAATGAGCGAATACTTTCAAATTAAGTTACTTTATATAAGTTCATCTCAACTGAAATTTTGTTAATCTCTGTGAGTGTACTTTCAAAATTCAGAAATAAAAATTCAATCATTAATTATAATTTGTACTGGAACATGGAATGCAGGACTTAAGTATTTGAAGAGAATAATTATGAGACTTAATGGCGAAAACGTGTATAAGACGAGCACGACGACGATGCGGCCAACGGGACCTCTTGCGAGTGGTGAATATAATATTAACCGCGAATGGTATGATTGTACGTATGCAAAACATACTATAGCGTCGGGGCGGCCATGGCGGAAGTGGTGGACCGGAAACTTCCTCGAATCGTTTGCTTATTGTGTCTATTGCATTACTCGACGGAAAGTTATGTATTTTATAAATTAGGATCCACTGAATGACCTATGTCTAGACGGCTAGGCAAACAAATAAAGTTGCATTCGCCCGAACCTGGAATTGCTTGCGCCGGCATCCCCACCGGCTGCGACCGAGGCGGTGCAGGTGAAAGACAAGTACAAGTAATAATAATAAATAATAATAATAAATGTTTATTTCAGTAATACAATTAACTTTACATTAACAGTGGATGGTACCTCCTATTAAGCTTATCAAGCCTGTGTCAGGAGGCACCGCTCTTCCATAGCTATAAATGCATATTTAACATTTTTAACTTATACTTAATGTAGTGTTTAATTTTTTCATTTCCAGAGATCGACAAAAACAAAACAAACAATTTTTTTTTTTTTTTTAACTATTTTCAATTTTCTTAACTTCTAATTTTAAATTTAATTTGAATCTTAAAACGTAAGTGTGTGCATTTGTATATGAAAATGTATGTGCGTGTGCGTGCGTGCGTGTGTGTGCGTGTGTGTGTGTGCGTGTGTGTGTGTGTGCGCGCGCGCGCGTGTGTGTGTGTGTGTGTGTGTGTGTGTGTGTGTGTGTGTGAGTGTGAGTATGAGTGTGTGTATGTATGTATTTATGTATGTGCGAGTGAGTGTGTGTATGTATGTATGTGTGAGTGAGTAAGTGAGTGAGTGTGAGTGTGTGTATGTATGTATGTATGTGTGTGTGGGGGGGGGTGTCTGTGTGTATGTGTATTAACCTGTTGCCATAGATTAGGAAAGTAGTGTTTTTAAAGCAACTGTTGTAATAGATCTTCGGTTTCCTCATACGATTTCGACTGTAGCCATTTTGATGTAACTTTTTTGCAGTCTCTATAACTTTTGGCGTATATTTCTAATTCCTTATTAATTAAATTGTACAAATGGGCCGATCGTTTGCTGAATTGTCTGTTTGCAAATGTTGTATTTACTTTAGGTACTTGTGCCACAATGTCTTTCCTTCTCCTCTTCGAAATATTTAGATCATATTTTAGAGACCTATGTTGTCTGAGTACAGTTTGAGTGATGTAGAGTTTCCTTACAGTGGCTAAATTTGATAGTTGATACAAACTGCTAGTGGCAAATCGTCTTTTTTTTAAATACATTATTTTAAGCAAATTGCGTTGCGCACGTTCCAACTCGAGAAAACGAGTTTTAGCAGCTCCACCCCATACAGGAATACAATAAATGAATACAGATTGAACCAAACTCACGTATATTTCCTTAAGTATATCCCTAGACGACGAGACTCGCGGACCAGCGACTGGTCCTGGCACTACATATCTCAGTGTTTTAAAAATCCAATTAAGTTTTCTTACTCTTTTAATGACATGTTCGACGTGTGGATACCACGAGAGTCGCTGGTCCACAAGAACACCCAAATATTTTGATTGTGCAACTTTAATGATAGAAGGGCATGTGCAGTTACTGGTGTTACCTGTGGTTTTACAATTATGAATCTTTAAGTGAAAATTATTTTTAGGCTGAGTATCATTATTTATACTAAAACAGATGTAGTTTATTTTATTAGTATTTAAGGTAAGAGAATTGTTAATTAACCATCTGTTTACACGCTCCAGTCCCCGTTCCGCACTAGACTTCAGAGTATCCCAAGAATTATCAGTGAATACAATGGCTGTATCATCAGCATAAGAGAAAATATTAGCGTTCTTGATCTGTAAATCACATAGGTCATTTATATATATAAGAAAAAGCGTAGGACCAAGAACGCTACCTTGGGGTACGTCATACAAAACCTCTTCGCACCTACTGATGTGGTTATCTAAT